AATACCACCCTTTGTACTGCTGATGAAGTGAATGGCTCTAAAATTAAATATGTTTTGGTACAGGACGTTCTGAAAATGTCTGACACCACAATATTAATTCTATAAATATATATCAAACATTGAAACAACCCTTCATTGTTTTGTGGTGGTAAAGCCACCAATGTGCAAAGACAATACAATAATTGATTGTAATCAGCTGCCGTCTGAGTCAAAAGCATTTGATGGACATTGAGTGAAGCCACACCATTGCATGGCACATTACAGAACGGCCAGACATTCACCAGCAGAGCCGCCCTTGCGCACAAAGACAAAGCTCCACCGTAGAGGCTTACCAGACTGTTGGGGCAAGTGCTGTTATCGCGAGCGCCTACAAAGGCCGACACGGCATAAGATGGGGGTGGGTGGCCAACACCACGCCCGGTCGCCTTTGTCTCCCCAGTGCTGATTTTTTTTATACATAGCACCAGATTACGAATTTAAAGCCGAGTCTACCTAGGGCAGGCCCCAGCACCAGTTCAAATATTCGCAACCGTTGTTGGTCGTGAGCGGCAATCAAACTCGGGGTCAACGGGCTCCTAACGAAGTGCGCTCACCACTGCGCTACTGCTCCACACACACACACGAACAATGCGATAGACTTCCAAGGATGTCAAACGCCAACTGATCGTCGATTGTCCGTAGCGCGATTATCCAGCTTCCAACATTATCCGGCGGTTCCGGCGTGACAAAAAAAAGGTGCTATGCTTGATTTCAGTGTCCAATGATACACACCTTCTATCATTACCCCATGCAGACGCTTCGAGATTGGAGTGGTAAGTACAGTACAGTGAATACATTACATTTTTACAGAAGGATATTAATTTGTGTCAATTTGTGTCTTTATTCGTGCCAATTTGACATAGCAAACACATTTGAAACACTAAAAAGATATATACACACAACATCTAAAAACATGTTATACAAGAATTAGCAAAAATAAGCTATCTAAAATAATTACAATGCATGATTATCCGGCGTTTTTTTAAAATCCTGCGGTCCCTTCCTCCCGAAGCTGCCGGATTATAATCGATGTTGATAATCGACGATCGACTGTAATTACAATTCACGAATCGCGAAGTTGCATTTTTTTGCAAACAGGGGGTCCCTTTAAGTCCACGCCAGAGCGAACAAAGATGAGAGGGCGCGTCAAGGTTTCGGGATATTCTCCGTGCGCTCACGGCCAGGTCAATACGCCGGCGCTGCACGAGAAGCAGCCTCTGCCGAGCCCAGAGCGCGCTTCTCTGCATTGAGCTTGCGTGGAATTTTCCGCTCGGAGCGTTGCGCAGACCCAGCACGCACCGGCACACACGGCAAAGCCACGTGTGTGTGCGCGTGCACGCGCCTGTGTATCAACACACACATTGCGCTCTCGCACGCGTGGCACTGAGCTCTCTCACACACACACCCCCAGCACGTCACGATGCCGCCCCTACACACCCCCTTGACTGCACGCCGATACCCCACCCCCCACGCAACCGTGCATCACCACCACCGCCCCCCCCCAACTCTCCGTGGCTACCAACAACAACAGCCGCCATTCGCCATGAAGTGGTGGCGACGTCACCGCGGTGCTCGTGCCAGGCTAGGTGCACTTTGAGGCCATGTGAAGTGTGGAAGGCTCCCTACTGGCAGGAGGTCACGGAACAGACCGAGATGACTGCCAGGCACACCACCTGTGCCCCCTACTGTGCCAACTCGCTGTGTTTTATCCACCCGGCGCTCCGCTCGTTGTTGTGAGCGTCGCTCCTCCGCCCTCCGTTGCTGCTGCCGCTCCTCCGATTTGCGCGGTTGGCTGTGTACGGCGCGAAAGAAGTTCGACACACATACGTTGCTGGAGGGCGGCTGCCTCCAACTGGCCGGCAGCATCCTTCACAAACCTCCTCCTCCAGAGGTCGATCTCGACACCGCTGGCACCGCTCATCGGCGAGTCCACCAATCGCGCACGCACACCCGTGGGCGGACGCGGGACTCGAAGGCCATGTGGACATTGCGGACACAAAGCAGGCGGTGTCGGGGGAGGAGGAGGACCTCTGCATGCCGTGTGCAGTGTTGGGTTGCCATTACCAAATTAACCAAAGCACCTCTGCGATCTCTCCAGATTCTCGGAAGCGCAGCGGCGTCGAGCCCCGAGAGCGCTTGGGTCAGGGACTGCGGCGTCAACAGCCGTGCCGGAAAGGCGGAACGGAACCGGTGACCTCTGCAATGCAAGGGGTTCAGTTTGCTGACCATTGCGCCGCTGGGGAAGCTTCAGGCCACTCTCCGTAAAGCAGCTATAAAACACCGCGTGCATGCCAGGAGTGGCTGTTAACAAAAAAACGATTTCGTTTTAGAAGGCTGTGACTCAGTTTACCGTAATAAACCCAAAGAACATGTCGGGAATATGCAAAGACGACTTTTTGGAAATGACATGACCTAAGCCTAACCTTTGGCGGAGTCATTCTGGTGACGTCACTTTTTATCGTGTTGTCTTTTCGAAAGCTTATCTGCATGTCGGAGGAAACCGGAGTGCCCGGGAACAACCAAAAGCTCACCACAACCCACACAGCGCTCGTGCGTTCACGTGCAGCTCGTCGCGCCCACGCTCCCGACCGATCGCCAACGCGGAAGATGCTCGTGGCCGCGCTGCGCCACGCCGTTCGCCGCCGTGGAATCCGACGTTTCTCTCTCTCCGAGCCACCCGGGGGCAGCTGCTCGGGCCAAGTTGAATATTCCGCTCGTTTTTCCATACAATCATACATGCATACAATCGCGGACAATCCTAACCGTCAGTTAAACACGTAGGCTTTCGCGACCAATATTATCCACAATAGAGGTTTTTTTGGGTTAGATCGCGTAAGTATAAATGTGTCGTTAAACCCACCACCACCCGACACAGCCAATTCGTAAGGTTTGTCACGTAAAGCGAACACAATTCGTTACTAGCTCGGCACACTTGGAGACTAAACACACGACATTTACAATTTGAGTACTGACATTTTTCCTCCGTTCAAAATGTGAATTAAGGGTTCCATCCGTGGTGACGTCCAGCCAGACTGACACTCACCCTTTTTAGATAGTCTATGCTAGTCGACCTGATGCAGGCAGTGATGAGAAGACTGGAACTATTTGGACACATGTGTAGGATGGACAACAACAGGAAAATGTAAAGTGTTGTTGTTGTTTGGAAAAATGCAAGGAACGGGAAAGAGAGAAAGACCTCGCAGAGAACGTCTTGACGACGACATCAACAGATTGGTGCCAGAAAGATGTGGCCACGACTTGGGCGTGTTGGCACAAGACAGAGAAACGGGGAAACAGATGTCGAAATACGCAGGGGACATCTACGGGGCTATCTGCCCCTGGATCGTGATGATGATGATAACGATGAGAACGATGAGGATGATGACAATGATGATGATAATGACGATGATGACGACGACGACGCCAGTCGAGCTCTCCCCGCCGGCGTCGTGTCACGAGGCGAAAGCGTCCGTCGCATCACCCCGGCGCGTGTCGCAGAGCGGCCCGCAGACGCGGCGAGACATCATCAATCTGCCCCGATCCGTCGACCTCTGGCGCCTCCTTGGGCGCTGGCTCGCGCACCGGCGCCGTCACCGTCGTCGTCACCACTGGCCATGATCAATCCACTGCTGGATGAAGGCTTCTTCCCCAAGCCGATGCAAATCCCGTTCGTGATAACCCCAAGCCTTCAGTGTCTCCAGCCTCCTGCCCCCGCTACTGCTGATGATGATGATGATAATGACAGTCATGAAGACGATGAAGACGATGATGATGATAATGACAGTCATGAAGACGATGAAGACGATGATGGTACTGCCAAAAGTGTATTCAAGTGACATTACAATTGGGAGTACTGGAGGCTTTCCTTGAGCTGTGTGCAGGCCCCGCATGACCGTTGTGTATACAACAATACATCTTATTCGCACGCGTAAACAATGTGGTATATATTTTTATAATAGCTGCCGTGATTCATTTTCCCCCCCAAGCGTGCCGCTTCGTAGCATTTACGCGTCCGTTCCAAAGCTCCACAAATCCTGTCCGCCCATCTGTTGCGTGCACACGCGCCACGACAACAACAACAGCCGCCGTTCGCCACTAAGCCACGGTGACGTCAACAGAGTCCTTGCGCCAGGCTAGGTGCACGCGTTGAGGCTATCGCGCCAAGTGTCGCAGGCAAGCTGCTAACAGGAAGTCACGGGGCAGACCCGGGTGTCGAGGGTTAACCGACCGAGTTGACTGGCCCGGTGCACCAAGCGTCCTCCCAACAGCGACAAATTACAAAGATCCCCCCCCCCGCCCCCGTGCAACCTGTACAGACATTTGGGGCGAGTACCGTTAGCGAGCGCCACCTTTGAAGGCCAGAATGGCGCAACAAGAGGTGGTTGGGGTCGGCCAGCACCACGCCGTCATCGACTTCTCTCATGTTTCCTCACCGCACAAGCTACTCGTGTAACCCCTGGACCCCCCCCCCCCCCCCGCTGCTTCTCTTCCCTCCGTGCCGGACTTAGTCGCCCGAGTTCCCCGTGTGCGCGTGTGTGTGTGTCTGCGATCAAAGGCATTGTTGTTGTTGAGACTGTTGAGGTTGAGCTGACCTATGCGAAGTCCAGGACTAGGTCGGTTCTGATATCACTCCCCACCGATTTTGTTCGTGAGCGGGAATAGATTTCGTTCAGGCCGCCGGGTTCGGAGCGCGGCGAGTCAACCGCGGCGCCGCCGCTCCCCGCGCGACAGATCCCCGCTCTCCCACATCGATATTATCCTGGCCCCCCACTCTCACACATCGATCTTATCCTGGGCCCCCCACTCTTCCACATCGATCTTATCCTGGGCCCCCCCTCCCCATCCTCCGCTTTGGCTCCGACCCGCGTCACCGCAGGGGTCAGAGGGGGGCGTGCGCGTCACCGTTGTCACGAGATGCGGCACGCGCGCACGCCGGCGTTGCCGTGACAACCGCGAGGAGCAAAGCAGCAACCGTGGCGGCGATGATGGAGGCGGCGACGAGGACGGCAACGTGGAACCCGCGACCGGAGCAATGGTGACGGTGGTGGTGGTGGTGGTGATGATGATGATGGTGGTTGAGAAAGATGATGATGGTGGTGGTGGTGACGATGATGATGGAGGTAGATGGAGATGATGGTGGTGGTGACGGTGATGATGATGGGGGTTGAGAAAGATGATGATGGTGGTGGTGGTGGTGACGATGATGATGGAGGTAGATGGAGATGATGGTGGTGGTGATGATGATGATGATGATGGGGGTTGACAAAGATGATGATGGTGGTGACAATGATGATGGAGGTTGACGGAGATGATGGTGGCGGTGACGATGATGATGAGGGTTGAGAAAGATGATGATGGTGGTGGTGGTGGTGGTGACGATGATGGTGGAGGTAGATGGAGATGATGGTGGTGGTGACGATGAGGGAGGTAGACGGAGATGATGGTGGTGGTGACGATGATGATGGGGGTTGAGAAAGATGATGATGGTGGTGGTAACGATGATGATGGAGGTAGATGGAGATGATGGTGGTGGTGGTGGTGACGATGATGATGATGATGGAGGTTGATTGAGATAATGGTGGTCATGTACGCATGTTTCACAGTACATAGCCAACCGTGCTAATCGGATGATGATAATGATGATGGGTTGATGGAGATGATGGAGGTGGTGATGATAGAGGTTGATAGAGACGGTGGTGGTGGTGACGACGATGATGATGATGATGATGGAGATTATCGTGGTAATATTGATGATGAGAATGATGACGGTGGTTGATGATGATGATGGCGGTGATGATGATGGTCGCGGTTGATTAAGAGAGCCATCGATGAAGACAATGAATGATGAAGATGGTGATGGCAGCGGCGATGACAGTGACGATTACGGACAGATGCCGACTTTCCCAACTGCCTCCCTGCAAGGCCGAGTCATTGACCAAATCACGGCCCGCACGACGTGACCACCGTTACATAGGTTGGCGAAATAAAAACTAAAACGACGCTGAAAGAGACGTGGCGGCAGTGGCGATGGTGGCGATGGTGGCGATGGTGGTCGTGATCACATTACAAAGGGCGATGGCCAAATTAAATTATCAGGCCTTTACAAAAGCAGCTGAAAACCCAAAGCTATTCGTCTATCATGGGCATTTAAAGCTGTGTAGATTCATCAACAGAAATTTATGCTTGAGGTCATGATGCACATGCTGAATGTAATTACACATTTAGGCTCATGGCACAAATAGAACTGTCGTCGCGAAACGGGAATAAAATTAGCAACTTTCACAACGATGGTAAAAAATAACAATTGGTTCTAAAAATAGAATCAAGATCCCAAATCGTGACAATTCATCACCTCCCCGGGAGGCTGAATTGTTACATGAACACTGCTGCGAATGAGTCACACGAACAACTTCTAATCACATATTCATTACGGCATTGACAGCAGTCATCCCGTGTGGAAAGACAAACCACTGCCGTAGCAATGTGGAATTTCATCAGCATTATTTAGTTTTTTATTTATTAGGCTTGGTTTTCCAGGAAGGCCTCGCTGAGTCTCAACACGTTTTTGGGAGGGCTTTGCCAAGTTTTTGCAGCGGGGGGGGGGGGGGGGGGCAAAACCTGCCATTGTGTTTGCCAACAGATTAAATTACGATATTTTTGGCACACGATGGCCTACTCTTCTCGGAACGACGTCACGGGATATTTGACGTCCGCTGTGGTATTATCCGGGGCGGCCTGCCGGAGTCGAACCACGCACCTCTGCAACAAGCGGCAAATGGCGATAAGCGCCACCAACGTGCTCACACGGGCAGAAAGATGATCGACTTTTACTTTAAGAATATAAAAAGATTGTGTTCTATGCAACTGCGGACATTGTGTAAATGTATACCTTGTGCAAGTGAGCATCAGTAAAGAATGGCCACCCTTTGTCAATGATCTCCAAGGGCTTTTAGGCTCCTTAACAGCCACTCGACAATAGATGGGGTAGCTCAGCAAAGGTGCAGAAATTACCGAACCAGCGAGCGGCTCAGGAGTCAGGGGGTCGAAACACCGCCGAGATGTTGGGGTTTAACAGGGGGCAGCCGGCCGAGGTTAAACCCGAGGCCCGAGGAACCGAACCGCTTTGCACAATTCTATGAATTGTGTTAGGCCAAGGCTTGTCCCTATCTCCGATTCCCCTTCGGGATTTATGCGAGGGAAATTGCGCAACTAGCGTGAGATGGTAAAGGGGCAAGAGTGGGCATCAGGAGGGCACGGACAAGAGTGAGCATCAGGAGGGCGGATCGTTGTCGCAGTAAAAGCGACCGTGCGCCCACAGGGCTCGGGATTGAGCCGCGGGGCTGCGAGCGAGGTGGCACGGAGGGCGCGAGCACGTCCACCCTGTCACCTTGGCCTCTGTGTCAATGCCCGCGTGTCCCCTGGAACGCTATCAAATTAGCGCACAGACCCATTTACAGGGGGCAGCAGCGGCAGCAGGTGGGACGAATCCCACGCTCCCCGCGTGTCACAGACCACAGCTGCGGTCACGGCTCAATCCACATTATCACCACTTCTTTTTTTCACCCCACTAGAAGTCACTTTCCGAGCAAGCTGCAAGCACGCCCCATTTGTTTGATCCCACGTAATGTTTTCGCTTGTACCAGTACAAATGCGGTGCGTTGTAAAGCGCGCGAATGGTTGGTTTAAAAAAAAAGGCTGAGCTGAGTGTGCTGTCGTGTATTCAGATTGCGTTGTTGACACACAGGGACAATACGGCTGTGCTGGACTTGTTTAGGCCCATCACCAATAACCGCACACATAATTGTTACGCACTCGATTTAGCTAAATTAAAGCTCTGAGAATTACAACAACAACAAAAATCGCTTCGACCGTCACGTGCAGAGAGTGTGCGTCCTCACAGCAGTGTGTGTGAAAGTGCTCCCCCTGCTGTGGACAAGGGTGAAAGACGCCATCTGTGTTCGGGTGAGGTCGCGCGAAAGGTCCCATCAGCAGCCCGTCCCTTCACACGGGCCCAACGCCCTGGGGAGGGTCTGCAAGATGTCCCAATGTATTCTGCGCCTCACGGCATGACACCGGTGGTCACGATTCTCGTGCATTTGTGGAAAAAAACCCAAGAACAGTAAATCTACGGCCTCCCTCACGCATCCGTCCCTCTGCATGAAAAAAAATATCACTTAAAAATGTATTTTGTGCTATTACAGAGATGTTGACCCCTGTGAGGAGATGACTCGCAAACAATTGAACGTCCGCCAACTTCATTCTCCAGTTCCCTCGAGAGAATCCCGTGAGCGTGGACACCTCGCCAGGGGCGTGCGTACAACAATTAGCGTGCCGCGACTGCAAACGTGCACACACTGCGGATGCATTGCATAGATAAACGTGGCTGAGTAACTCGGGTGGCCTAAGCCAGGATGTCAAATGAATGAGCTGGACATGCTAAGGGGTGGGCCCGGGTTTGGGCGGTCACGAGACCTAGCGGCAACTGCCGCTTGTTGCGGAGGTTCACGGCGCGATTCCAGCGGTCGCCCTGATTATGTACATTGAACTTCTTTCGCACTGTACATAGCCAACCGTGCTAATCGGAGGTGCAGGGGAGGGGACAACCAACCAATTATCTACGTGACTTTACCGAAAGACCCAAAGAATGTAGAAAAAAGCAGTTCAGTTTGTTGTCCTTCCCCAGCGCCTCCAATTAGCACGGTTGGCTAATTAATCCGCTCCGTCTATAACCACGGTGGCCGTTAACAATGCTTGGTAGGTAACCTGAAAAAAGTAGTGAGGCTCAAGCAAGTTTTTCCTGGGTAAACTGTGACAACAAAAATCACGGTATTCAGTTGAGTTCAATTCTTAATCGTGCATGGCCAGACCAGGTCAGTATCCCACTTACCGCGGCGTAGGTTTTCACAGGTGGTGTCGTATTGCTCTCCGCGGTGCACCCTGAAAGAAAACCAGAGGAGGACAGTAACATCAGTCGTCTGCACCGCAGCAGTGCCGATGCTTAGCTGCGTTCGTCAAGTAAACGACAACACACCGGCACCCACGGATGTGCCCCATACCCCGCTGCCTCTCATCCACGTTGCACCCGTCCATCTGTCACCCTCATTCACCGTCACACTCCACCGTATTCCTCTTTTCCTACCCCTGCAACATCATGGCTCCATTCCCAGGCCCTGTCCCTCAATCCCTTTCGTCACCTCCCTCACTGACAGCCACTTCACCCCACCCATTGCTCCCCTTCTGCCCCTTTTTTCAACCGCCATCGGTACAGCAGTGCCCTGGAAAGGGCGCTGCTATATGAATCCTAAATGGAATAGCATATCTGGATTGGACTTTCTGCTGAAAAAAATTCATACATGGAAAAATCATGCGTACGCACGGGTTACGTGATGCTTACCAACGCGCGCTTGACTGCACGAGTACCCATTGGAAAAAAACGCATTTTTGCCAATGGGTAATTGACAGAGCAACAAAAGCATTTTCCGAATTTGCAAAATGTTCTTTTACGCTCAGGATTTGTCTCCAAGTTCATGGGCAATCCTTTGATAAAATTTCCGGTCGGCGGTGGCTACGTGTGACCATTTTGATCGTTCATGCAACTTGCATCTCACAATCGCTGAGTATCAGAATCTTGATTTAGACTGGAGGAATCCGAGTGGAAACCACAGACCTAGCTGGAAGGCTGCCAGGTGGTGAGCCGCCGTCAACAACTGCTCTGCTGTTCTCTACATATCAAGTTGCTTTTAGCCAACTCGTGATCGTTTACACATGTGAACGGAAGCCGCAGCGCCTGGAGGAAACTCGCGCATGCGAGGGAGCAACACTCTATCCTGTACAGAAGGGGGACAGACGTTGCCAGTCAGCACTTTGCTGCACTGCGTTCTGCTGTCAGAGCCAGGATCGGGCAACTCCTCGATGCCCACGGGATTGGAGTCACGCAACATTTTAACATTCATGCGGTGATCCACCAACCCTAGCTGCTGCCTCCACAAGGTTGGTTTTACAGGCAGCCACAAGCACAGCGCAGCTACCACCGACGTTTTGCTCCACGTGCTTCTTCAGCAGCCCACTCTCTCCCTCGATCACACAGCGGTGTTGCCTGCTGCTGCTGCTGTGTAATCGAGAGAAATAGTGAGCTGCTCAGTTTAGTTCCTGAAGAAGCCCCCGCACGTAGAAAAAAACGTCCGGCATCATGCCGAACAACCCGAAAACACATCGGAAAGCCTTGCAGCACAACGGCCAAAACATACAAAAGACAAAGATCCCCCATGTATCCTTCACAGGCTGTTGAGGCAAGTGCTTTTAGCGAGCAGCTATGAAGGCCGGCACGGCACACGAGCAGGTGGGTGGCCAGCACCACGCCCGGCCGCCTATGTAGCGACTTTTACACAATCGCACCAGGAACGTATTTTAGGCTAAGTCGACCTAGGGGAGGCCCAGGAACGGTTCAGATGGTGTTGGTGGGCCGTGAGCGGGAATCAAACTCGGGTCACCGGGTTCGTAGCGCAGCGCGCTAAACACTACACTACTGCTCGAAAAACACACACATACATATACACAACACATACATATACACAACACATACAGTTTAACACGTAGGATTTTTGGGTTATATTGTGTAAATATAAATCTGTCGTTAAACTCACCAGCATCAGACAGACATTTAGTAAGGTTTGTCACGTGAACAGAACATGCCAATTAGTTACTAGTACAGCACACCGGTGTGTTGGAGCGCAAATCCACAACATTTACAAATTGAGTACGATGGTGTTGCTGTACTAGTCACGAATTTCCACGTTCTGTTCACGTGACAACCCTTACTAATTGGCTATGTCGAGTGGTGGTGGGTTTAACGACACATTTATATATTCACGCGATCTAACGCTAAAAAGACCCCTCTATTACGGACAACACGTACACACAAAACACAACGTCTGGGTTGAGTTGAAACGTGGCAAGGTCAAACTGGGGCGAGGGCATTGCGCCCTCCTGTGGCCAGAACGAGCCCCCTCTCAATCTCTCGGCCCCGCTTCCATCTCCGGCTTCAATCGATCATCCCACGTCGTCATCAGCAGCAGCAGCAGCCATTCTCCGTTCGCAGCAGCAAGGCGGCTCTGTTGTTGGTGCCACCACGGACTGCGGCGTGGTGTGTGCATGGCCAGCGTTCAGGCGTAATGGTGACAATAACGGGGGCATTTCGTTACCGTGGGAAAATCGGAATGACCCTTTTCCAAGAGGGTACCGCATTGGGACGTTTGTCAAATTCCAATTCACGACTGCGGCTAAGGGAGTTTTTTTTGCATACAGTAGCCGTGCCTGTGTTTATGTTGGGTACTCGTGTTAGATTTCGATTTAAAGCTTTCGTGACTGCAGGGATTCATCTTCTTGGTTCTTTCGGTAAAGTCACGTAGAATGGAAGTAATAAAATAATAAAAATAAAACATAATAAAACAATTCTCACGACGTTTCGGCCACAACGCAAGCAGCCGTCCTCAGGTGAAAACCAGGTCCGTCGAGGCGACAGAGTCTGAATGAAACAGCACACGAGCTTGGAGTATATATATAAGCTGGGCGCATTGACAAATGCGGCTGCTTGCGTTGTGGCCGAAACGTCGTGAGAATTGTTTTATTATGTTTTATTTTTATTATTTTATTACTTCCCTTCTACGTGACTTTACTCGTGTTAGGTCTGTCGGCCGACTTGTGGGTTGCCGCCCGGGTAAGTTAGTCTCCCCTTTCCCCACTACACCTCCACTGCCAATCCCCCTCCACTCCATCCCCAATCCCCCTCCACTCCATCCCCCACGGCCCTCCACTCAACATGCATATGTAGCGACTGTCCCACACGATCCCAGGGACAGAACAATCAAGAAGGCTGTGGAGCAAACACTCTACGCTCTGATTGGTTAGGGCACGGGGAGCAAGAGGATTGGCCGGAACATTCCAAAGGGAAAAGAGCCAGAGGGTTGGGTGACCGTCAGGTGGGACGGATAGGCCACATGAGGGTAATAGAGGATGGCGATTTGTGGAGACCGAGTGCGAGGAAGGGCGGAGCCAGGAAGAGGTTAAAAGAGGGAGCGGGAGGCGGAGTTGGGGGCGTTGCAGGAGAGAGCGAGGATGAAGATGTGGACCCGTGCTGTGAAATAAGGAGCTTAGCTTGTTGGCAAAGAAAGGGGCCACTCTTCTTTCACATATATTTGCATGCATACGACGCAAATAGTCATTTTTGCTTTCGTTTCTCAGTTTTGCTTTCGTTTCTCCGTGTTCAACCGATGCACAACGCATTCATCCAAAATGACGCACGGAAGGCGATGTCGCTCCGCTGTCCTCACACATCGCACGCACTGCACAGTCCATTAGCCCCGCCCCCTGGCCCTGCTTGGCGCCGAGCCAGATTCAGATGGTCTTGCGAGGGACACGCGGGCATCGCGGTTTGGGTCCCGGCGTACCACGCGCGACGCCGGTCATGCCGACGCCAGTCACGCCGACGCCAGTCACGCCGTAACGTTCCAGCGCTGAGGTGCACATTTTTAATGTGCACCACATATTTAATGTGCACCTCTCCTGAACGTGCACACAAACCCGGCGGTGACCCCCCCTCCGCCTCCCCGCCCTGACGCAGAGCGCGAGAATGGCGCTTTGGGGATGACCCCTGCCCCCCCCTCAACGCGAGCACACGCAAGGTCCCTATTTATAGCGTTTGCTCCCGTGCCCACGTAACGGCTCGTTGCCGGCGGCGCGGGCTATCTACGGCGCCGTACAGAATCTCGTGTGCGCGCAGCGTTGGAAGGGTGACCCCCGAAGTTTCGACGTGATGAACAGGCGAAACAAAACTCGGCCGGATTTTTTTTTTTAATTGTGGGACGAGTTTTAAACACGAGCGGCTGGTAGCACGTAACCCACTTGGGTATGTGGATAGTGGGACCCGGTCGAGTGGTTGGCGAGAGTGGATTCTAACTCCCTGGCTCTGTTACCCCCCGCATGTTAACCCCCTTGGACGTTAACCCCCCTTGCAGGTTAACCCCCCCTCGTGGTGGGTGCTCTCCGGGTTCTCGGGTTTCCTCCCACAGAGAGACACTCGTTCACACTACAGGGACCCCTCTACTTACGAACGAGTAAGGTTCCAGAGGTCTGTTCGCAAGTCCAACTTTACTCCCTGTCGGTTCCAAACGCGTTGTACGGCATCTATGCTAAACACAGGGAGTGGCTTTAAAAGTTGCATAATCTCCTGTAGATGTAGATGCCACTGGTTCTTCGCCTTCTGCAGATGTAGACGCCACTGGTTCTTCACGTTCTGTAGATGTAGATGCCACTGGTTCTTCACGTTCTGCTGATGTAGATGCCACTAGTTCTTCACGTTCTGCAGATGTAGATGCCACTGGTTCTTCACGTTCTGCAGATGTAGATGCCACTGGTTCTTCACGTTCTGCAGATGTAGATGCCACTGGTTCTACACGTTCTGTAGATGTAGATGCCACTGGTTCTTCACGTTCTGCAGATGTAGATGCCACTGGTTCTTCACGTTCTGCAGATGTAGATGCCACTGGTCCTTCACGTTCTGCAGATGTAGATGCCACTGGTTCTTCATGTTCTGTAGATGTAGATGCCACTGGTTCTTCGCCTTCTACAGATGTAGATGCCACCACCGCCATCTATTGCACGGCGGTTGAACTGCACATAAGGACAGGTTTGCTCATATCTCTGAAAGTTCTTAAGTCAAATGCTCGTAAGCAGAGGAGTCTCTGTATTGACTAAAACATCCCAGTGTAGGATATTCGTGAAAGAATATCCTCAAGGCTCAGTGAGGCTTCCCTGAGTAAATTGGGTGTTAATTTCCTAGGTAAAAAAAACTGGGGCATTAAGATTTTAATTATAATTATTCTTAAAGAATTTTCAACTATTATAATATTTACTCTATGCCAACAGTGGCCAATTCACAAAGAAATGTGGTCCAAGTTGGTGGCTCTAATCTGGCGCAGTGGTCAACCAACAATTACCACAAGTATGAGAATAGGTTTTCCCCTTTTTTCTGGCAACAAAACAGGTGTTAAGATGTTAAAACACCAAACTGAAACCTTTTACAAGGAATCATGTCTGCATTAACCACAATACTTGTGGTCAGAATGCAAACAAAAAACATACTCTGATAATATATACATTGTCTTTGAAACTGATTGGTCCACACCAGAGACAGCTTTCTTTTGAGCCTAGTCTCAAAACGGTGTTAGACCAGAGGACGCCAAAACGCGTACAGCACAAAGACAACGCACTATCAGAGTAATGAGAGCTCGGGGTGAGCAGCTACATCATGAAGAAGCTGCTCACCCCGAGCTACAGTATCATGATGTAGCTCGATTTGTCCTGAAATCTGCAACAACGTATTTTGCAATCGTCCAACCTCTGCATTGCGTTGTCCACGTATCGGCCACCGCTGCTATGAGCCCCATTTATCCTTCTGCAGTTCTGTGCGGGGTTGTGTACGCATTCAATATGAGCGCGGGCGGCTACGTAAGATGTGCAAGAAGTTCAACATGCATGCCATACAACGGCAAGTAATATGTACAGGCCAGTTCGCCGTTTTTAATGAGACTCGTAATGAGGTCACGATCTACCGCAGTGGCAAGCCAATGAACAGAGAGCATCCGCCTGGGAACCCGCTGTCGTTGAGTTGGAGACAAGGAATCCCTTCAAGCGCAGGTACCGCGTGGACCGTCGCATCGCAGGATCACGAGAGACGGGAGTGGCTTGCCGAGGCCTTCATCCAGCAGCGGACTAAGCGTGTCCGACAAGGCGGCGATGACGAGTGGACGTATTTAAATGTCACCGTTTATTCGAGTAATAATCAATAACCGTTCTCAGTGGCGCTGTGCAGGCGGAGAATAGCTAACGAGAACCAAGTAAAGAAAAAGCGAGGAAGACGTTTGAAAATAACTAAGGAGAGAAAACAACTTTTAAAACGGGCAACGTTTTGAGTCGAGATTTGAAGATTTGTAAAGTGTCTCTGAAGTCCCGGCCTCGAAAGGCAAGGAGTTGCAGAATACGCTTACATTTCCAAATCGCGTTCAACAGGCACGGCCGTATGGTATTATTTGCTCAGTACAGTACCCACGTGTGCACTCGAGTGTCTTGGTAAATCGCACGCACAGACACTTGGCCACACGAGCAGCCCCAGCGCCGTTCTTCTCTCTCTCTGCCGTGCAGCTGCCAAGATGCCAACTCCCCCCATCCCACACCAACCCCTACCCCGGGACACCAGAAACAAAACAGCTGTTCGCACAGCTGCAAGTTACGGGCAACTTGGCTGTGCGTGATATTTAAAATCCGAGTAACATTTTTTTTTCTTTTAGGCAAATCAGAACATTCACTTCCACGGGCAAAAATGGTTCCTTGCAATTGGAAACCACGGCGCCTGAAAGGGGCACGGTTCAAATTGAAGCATTCCACAATTTAACCGGAGCCAAAGCGATTTCACGACTCAACCGGAGATGCGTCGGTGTACAGGACAAAGCAGGGACGGTCACACCGAAGGCTCTTTGCTGGCGGGGGCGGAGGGTGGTGCGGACGGAATCCTCGCATCACGTCGCATCTGCACGTTCGTTTAGGCTTGCCATGGCAAGGAGGTGGCAGTGCGGCAAAGGATTATTGAATCTATCTGTGCGCAACTTGGAGTGTCACCCTCCACGTATGCGCTGGTGGGGCTTTGCTCCATGGGTTCTCCTGTCCCCCCCCCCCCCCCCGCCTGCAAAAAGCCAGACACTCACTGACGGACGTTGGCCAATCATCTCAATGATGCAGGACCCTCCTGAAAAAATGGTACTGGGACTCAATCAACCTTTTCTTTGGTCAACAAGGGGCATATCATTATTCTCCTTCTTGTTGTTGGGTAATCAATAACTTAAAAATGTATCATATTCAGCCCTCCGTCACTCTACTGTTAAAGGTGTGCCCCCCTCGCCCCCCCCCCCCCAACATGCCCGTGTCCGTCATGGCGCTAACTTTTACATACTTGTCCACGCAGGTCAGTGCAGGTCGGCGAAGACGTCACTCGCCACTTGATGATAGCTGTGACGGCTCGGATTGAAAACACGTCACTGGGTTCGTAATGCAGCAATATGACCGCTATGCCATGCCTACCCCCATAATTAGTATTATTATCATCATACACATCGCTATTATGAATGCATCCATGTCCCTGCATGCACGCATTAGTGATTGCCACCTCGGAGGTACAAAACACCCAGGACACATCACGGGAAGAAGAACATCTCACAATACCGGAAGGTGAGAGAGCTAAGCATAACTGCATTTTACTGAGTGGTCCATTGTATGCATTATTATTATTCAGATAAATCCAGGACTTTTAATGTCCCGGGGGAGGCTCACAAGACGATGCTGGGAACAAAAAAAGGACAGGTGGCAGCCCATGCTATAACGGAGCTCGGAGGAACGTCAGACAGATGCTCTGAGAGTTTGAAAGTTCAGGGACGTTAACCGTCGTGCGGCAGATGGCTTCTAACGGTGACACAAAAAAAATGACCACACCGCACAGGGCGGTGTTCAGTCAGAGAAGTGCGAAGGGCTGCGGAAACGTCCACACGAACAACGTTCATCCCGCATGTCTCGGTTTCTTGACCTCACAATAGAGGTTTTTCCCGGGTTAGATCGTGTGAATATAAATGTGTCGTTAAACCCGCCACCACCCGACACAACCAATTAGTAAGGTTTGTTACTCCTACAGTACACCGGTGGTGTGTTGGGAGATTACATCCACAACCTTTACAATTGTATAATATTGATCGCGAAAGGCTACGTGTTAAATTCCTCGTTGACAACGCATCGAATGACAGTAAAACTATGTGAACATCCCCTGTACAAAGCTCTCCGCGGAGATTGAGAGGATGCCGTTTCACACACACTGAATCGATATCTTTCCATTGAGAGTAAGAACGTTCCCACCACCAAGTTCCCACCACCAAAACGAGTGATCAGCTTCTGCGATACATTGCCACGTGATGATGAGCCACTTATCATTTGTGGCGTGGTCTCTTCTCAAAATAAGCTACATAGCTCAGAGGGCCTTACCTGGTAAAAAAAAAATTGTTTAAACTTTATAGATTACATCCAGGGACTTATTTTGTTCAATGTCGTTCTGTGTGCACGCTTGGCTTATTATTCCTATCAGCGGTTATATCGATATTGTTTTTTCTTTCCAGGAAAAGCCACAGAGGCACGATGGGCACATCGCTAAAGGCCAAGGCCTAAGGAGACAACAGCGGAGTTAGCCGGGATCTTGGTCAACACAGCCGAGAAAGAAATCACATTGCCCCATCTCGAAGCTTCCAAGCCATGCAAATAACCGTGGACATGGTTGATCGCTCACAACAACTGCACAAAGACAAAGATCCCCCGTATAGCCTCTAACAGACTTTTTGGGGAAAGTGCTGTTAGCGAGCACCTATGAAGGTCGGCACGGCGCACGAGGGGGTGGGGTAGTCAGCAGCACGCCCGGCCGCCTTTGTCTCCCAAGTGGCGATGTTTACACACCGCACAAGTTACTCATTTGAGGCCGAGTCGACCTAGGGGAAGCTCAAGACCGGCTGTGAGCAGAAATCGAACTCGGGTCACCGGATTAGGACCACAGCGCGCTAACCATTACACTACACACAACCACACGCAAACCCACATACGTAAAAAATATATAATAAAAAATGTAAATGAAGAGACAACATCATGGCGAAAAAATAAAATATCAGCGCAGGCCAGAAAACCACAAGTTGAGATGAAGACAAGGAACCGCGTGAAACAAGCCCCTCCCATCTCATGAGTCACACCGCCCGCAGTTGTCTCCCTCCGTCTCACATTTGCTCAAAATGTATTTGACGGTGACCCAAGAGGTCCAAGATGCGGTTCGAAAGCAAGTGGACAAACTGCGCCGAGTTTCTAGTCAACGGTAATCGAACGAGGGAGAAAGAGGCCCCATTCTTCTTGAACCACAACGCAGCGCGGATCGCGTCGCATCTCGGCACGGGGATGCTCCCCGCCGTCGCTTCGTTCCTCTCCGATGCACTCCGCCCGCCGCTTCCAGCATGGACCGCTGCGGCGTCGCCCAGACCTGTCGGCTGTCGTCAGCCGACAGGTCGGGGCAGCTGCTCTCTGACAAAAGTCAACGCCGGGAGACATCTTTACGCGCGTGCCGATGTCCCGCGGGACAGCGCAAACCAGGCTCTCGGAGACCTCATGGTCATCGCGAGCGATGCACGGGGCGAACTTGCTAGGCAGCAACCAACACCCGGAATCGCATCGATCGCGCCTCTTTACCCGCATCGGGGGCACACGCGTTCCGATGCCCCGCGGCAAAGGTGCTCGTCTTATTAGCTTTGCTGCATCTCGCCCCCTGACGCGGTGGCTAGGAGACGTTAACTACCTCGCTTGGTATGCGGTAGATCATGTGTTCGATCCTGAACCTGACGCCTGCTCTATATTTGGAGTTTGCGTGTTCTCTCTCCCCGTGGTCATGTGGATTTTTCTTCAGCTCCTCCGGTTTTTCCCTCCACCTTAAGAACCAACGTGCATTTAGAGTAAATGGGTGCTATTAATTTCCACGTGCTATGCCAATGCGTTGAGCTACAATTTGTGGCCAAGTCAAGTTATATTGCTTAGTGGGCATTACCTGGTAAAATAAAAATAAGTTAGTTTAAAATAGTTTATAGTCTCAAGACTCTTTTTTTGCCAGGAGGGTCCTGCCAAGCTTTTGCAGACGGAGGCGATGCTGATGTTGCTGCTGTGTTTAATCCCAATTGAGCAATTTGCCGATAATCTTCCTTTCGTCGTGAGGATGTTTGGCGAATACCCGTTAACGTTCAACGAGATGAGAGATAAGCAGAGAACCTGGAGGAAACCAAATGCAGAACCGGGGTAGAACACACAAACGCCACGCAGAAAGGGCACCCGAGGTGACCAACTCACCCAGGCCCCTACGTGCAGTGAGGCGCGAGTGTTGGCACCGCGCCAACCATTCTTTGTGCACTCAATGGCGAGGCTCGCCGCACTGCGAGACCAGGACGAGACATCCAGATTCTCACACGGGTGGCGGCTCAACGCCCCGAGCCGCCCGCACGCAGTCTCGACCAAAAGGCCGAGCGTTTGACCACCGACGCAGAAAACACTACATCCCTAATGGACCCGCACATTACGAAGAAATGCCCACATCTTAAAAGGTATTTGGCCTGGGGTGCACACATCGTGGGCGAGCATTGTTCATGGTGACGAACTATGTGGCGGTGACGACGCTGCGTTCGGCAGCGGTGTACATCGCGCCAACGACAAAAGTGCTTCACGCATCCGTCAAGAGCACCGCATCACGTGGAACAAATACTGTAGGCAACGGATGTTTCGGGCGAAGGCCCTTTTTCATGCTGCTGTAGCGGACACTATCCTCGCCAGCACGCGGAGACGGGTCAGGGTTCCAGTCCGTCTAGTCACCACACGCGGCGGCTCCCTCCATCACACGCAGCTCTCTCCTTCGTGCTCAGCTCCCTCCGTCACACGCAGCTCTCTCCTTCGTGCTCAGCTCCCTCCGTCACACGCAGCTCTCTCCTTCGTGCTCAGCTCCCTCCATCACACGCAGCTCTCTCCTTCGTGCTCAGCTCCCTCCATCACACGCAGCTCTCTCCTTCGTGCTCAGCTCCCTCCATCACACGCAGCTCTCTCCTTCGTGCTCAGCTCCCTCTGTCACACGCAGCTCTCTCCTTCGTGCTCAGCTCCCTCCATCACACGCAGCTCTCTCCTTCGTGCTCAGCTCCCTCCATCACACGCAGCTCTCTCCTTCGTGCTCAGCTCCCTCCGTCACACGCAGCTCTCTCCTTCGTGCTCAGCTCCCTCCATCACACGCAGCTCTCTCCTTCGTGCTCAGCTCCCTCCATCACACGCAGCTCTCTCCTTCGTGCTCAGCTCTCTCCGCACCCTCACTCCTCCGACGTCTTATCCCCCCCCCCCCCACGCTGCCCTCCCCTCATCCCTGCCACCTCATTCCGCACCTCCGGTGAGCGCGGTTGGCTGCGTACGGTGCGGGGCAAGTTCGACGTACACACGCGACGTACACACGACGTACACACGCGACGTACACACGACGTACACGCGCGAGCCCAGCCTCCAAGCCACGTATTGGCGCATCTCGGGCCACGTCTCCTCGTCTCCAGCCAGCAATCCCCTTTTGTTCGTGCGTCGGGGTCAAGGCGGTGCAGGGGCAGAGGGCGGCGTGGACGTGGGGGGTACGGGCCTGCCGATGTTGCGGGGACCGTTATGGAGGGGGGCCCCTTCACACGATGAAGAAAAGGCCATCGTGCTATGAAAAGTGGACCACCACCCGAAACGTCGCCTATGTATATATTGTATATTATCTCATGTGTGATGGCACTGGAAACCACGCATGAAGGTACACTCATGCGTGCCGTCGTGTCGACGCGTAGGTTCTGGAGTGGTGCAAAAAGCAATGTCGTGGTGCACCAATCGCCAGCAGCCCGTTCCGAAACCCCACTCGCACCCCTAACGCCACGAACCTCATCGCTTAATCGCCGCTCTTTGCGTTTAGTTTGCTGCTCCCCGCACCTCCGATTAGCACAGTTGGCTACGTATGGTGCGAAAGAAGTTCCAACACACAGTACGCACGTACGAACCCGGAAAAGGCAGCTCCCACGCCCGCACCCCCTCTTGCCCACAAACCACAAAAAATACTTTTCCTAGAAACTCGCGTCGGTCACAAACTTCATTTTGTTACTTCCCAAGCGCACGGCGCAGTGCTGGCAGGCTGCGCTTCGAACCACGGCTCACGCCGGCGGGGAGAGTTCGCTTGGGTGACTCTCTGTCTGTGCAGTGTCCTGGGCCCTGGTGCAAGGAATGAAATGCACCCCCCTCCCTCCCCACCCCATCCGCCCTCTGTCGGCCAGCGCTTCTGGTCTCCCCTCTGGCCAGTGGGCCCTGGTGCAGTTGCACCGCCTGTACACTCGAGAGCTACGTCACCGTGGTGGTGCACAAGCAGCAGAACTAGGGGGATAAAGTCGGCCACGCGTGGTTCTGGCCACATGACCCGCCCCACGCTGTTGTGTTACGCCGGCCTTAATAGGTGCTCGCTAACAGCCCCTGGCACGACAGTATTGTTGTCCGTTAGTCGGTGAGCTCTGGACCAGACATTTACAATGTCGGTGCCACGTGAGGTGGCACCACTCTCGCGGTTCCCGTGTTGTGATGTGTGGCCAGCTACAGCGAAAGATTGCCCTTGCCACTTCACAAAAATGAGGTGGTTACCAATTTCTGCTCTGCCACGCGGCCCATTTGTGTACACGTGTTCCGGCCCTGATAGGTGCTCGCGGACAGCGCTCCAGGGGGAGGAGTGGGGGAAATCTTTGTGTTTTTTCAAGTTAAGTTTGCAGTGGTGAACACGTTCACACAAGTTCCTTTAACACATAATTAGAACAACTAAGTGAAAAAAAAGCCACAAAGACAAAACGAAAGTTTGAATCATCGTGGGGTGGTGGTGGGGGGGGGGACGACACTCAAGGGATGTGCTGTCCTGCGTTGGGCGCGGCCCTCGGAAGTGACTCACCGACGCCGGTTGGAAGTTGTGGTTGGGGAGTGTGGCGGCGGGCACGCGCTGTGGACATGGTCACCTGCCAACAAAACAAGCGGCGATTCCCGTGCCGACACGTGGCCTTCGGTTTTTTTATTTTTTGCGGCCGACCTACGGCACGCCCCCCCCCCCTCCCCCCTTCCGGTGACGCGCGTCGTCTCGGCGAGATGTCCGACGTTTCGCCCCGCGTGCTGCGAGCTACTTCGGCAACCCCGACGGGCGACAGCGCTGCTCTGAAACGGGTAAGTGTGGTCACGCGCACGAGTGACGAGCTTTCTCCGAGTACTCCAGATTTCCTCGCCAATAAACATCGGCCGGCCGACGTCAGGACTCCAGCAGCAGCAGCCGGGAACGCGGCCGCTATATATCATCGACGGAAGAACGTGGGCGGCTCTATTCAGTTAGTCAAGAAGCTCCCGGCACGTGGAGCGGAACGTCGGACATCGCGCTGAACGACGCGCGGCACGACCCTAAACCACCTCGGAGAGCTTGGTTGCGCAAGCGTGGAAGCGTAAGCAGGTGTGTCCTTGACAATGCCGTCCGGTAAAAGCGATCTGTTTACCCGGTTGCATTTGACGTCAACGAAGACACGCATGAAGCCCTTAAAGCGACAGCCTCCTCAATAGTCCGGACGTCAGGTGAATGACCCACGGCTCTCTTGACAAAAAGGCCAGGGCCTCTCTACAATAAGCTTCAAACAACACGTCTGGCACATGGCCTTTTGTGAAAAAATGATCAGCATTTACTGAAGAAGTTCATTGTGGTCTCTAGCAACCAATCCCCAAATCGCGGTTGTCTTGGCTTGCAAGGTCACGGCGAGGAAACACTGCGAGCACAACATGGAAAATTAAACATTTCCGTTTCCAGTTTTGTTTTAAAAAAAATGGGATTTCCGTTCAAAAAGATATTTCAAGAATACTGTAATCACCTAAAAAGCACACTCTTACGTGCGTGTAAAGGATTTCCATTGCCTTTTGTCTCATTTTGATTGTGAGGATTTCGTCGTCTTTAAGCGTCTGGTTTCGAAACAACAAAAAACGATCGCTCACGCAATTTCCAACGGCTGACTTTGCTCGGCTGAGCTCCCTTGAGGAAACAGACTCGTCAGGATTTTGAGTGGTTATGGATCCGAATTGACAGTTACTGACATGCCATTGTGAGCTCATCATCAAGTCTCGCACCACGGCCTTTACAACCACTTTTAGTGAACTCAAGCGTTTGCCCAGACTCCTCCCGCAGATTTTACTTTTCTTGTCCGATGAGCGAGTCAATTCATTGCCGTCGTCAGCCACGATCTCTCCACTGCTGGATGAGGGGCTTCCCCCGAGCCGTCGCCATCTCTCGCGATCCCGCGGGTGTGACAATCCACCCAGCGCGTGCACGCGAGCCGATCTCGCCGCTCCATCTCCGCGGTCAACGTCCTCGGGCGCGTCACTGTTGCCCGCTACTCGGAAATTCGTCTCAAAACGAACCGGCGAATCCCTCCCGAGCCGTCGCGTGTCCTGCCTGAGGCCCACTGACTTTTGTTAACCGTCAACGTGATGTCTCTC